AAATAGAGAGCATCAGGCAGTTCTTAGAAAAAGGGTATTTCAAATGTAAAGCATTGAAAATAAACAAGTGGGGGGGACAATTCAAATGTCCGTGTATTAGGAAAAAGGTGTAGATGAGTAAAATAAACTGTATAAAAGGGGAGCTGCTAGGAAATGTCACTTTCACAGAGTAAATGATTTCTCTACTTGCAGAGGAGGAAATAAATGATTCTTACAAAAGATGCTCAAGATTAAGGGATTTTAAAGTAGGATTGAAAAAAGGTGCCACTTGCAGAGGGCGTGAGTTTTCTTTTTGAGTTAACACTGGCAGCGGTGGGGGAACTAGGGTCATAGGAATGTCCCCTAAAGGACAAAACCTTCTAAGGGAGATAAAACGTTGTAATTTACACACGCATATATATATATATATATATATATATACACGTCCCAATGAGTTTGATTAAATTGTACTGATTAATTTTTTATTGTATTTTTCTAGTTTTTGAATAAGCTGTTGTATATTGCAATCAAAATTGTAGCTAATGTAATCTTAGCTGCCACAATGACAGCACATGGTTCTTGATAATGACTGAGAAGCTCAAAAGTATTTGAATAAAAACAACAGAACAAATATGCACTTCAGAGAGTCTTTCAACAATTTCAGTCTTATTGAAAAATACAATAAAAACTCACACAGACAGACTTTATTTGGATGAATACTTGCTGTCTAAAGATATGTTTCAAATTGGTTATATAAAAAAGTGCTCAGTATCAGAGATAGTAGCTGTAGACATAAGCAGTATGAACAGTGAAATTAACACTGGTTACTGTTAGTTTCATGACTCAAGAAATTTTCTGACCATGCAACATACATGGTGTAAAGTAGGGACCTCCAATAATTCATGATACCTACAGTATAAAATGAATTTCTAAAAATGAAAAGTTTCTTGAAGCTTTCATTTTAGCTTTAATTGAAATGTAAAGGATTAACTTTACTATTTCCAGTAAGCAAAATACTGTGGTGTATCTCAAACAGAAATTATACTGATTAGAATCAATATTTTTTTTTTTGTAAAATTGCTGATTAGGGTTCTTTTTTAGTTGTATTTCATCACAATGTAATTCTTTTTATTAAAAATCTTTCAAAAATAAAATATACTTTTCTGAAATTTTATTTGAGGAATATTAACTGATTTAAAGTATAATTAATCTGATTTGTATCAAATATTATTTAAGTTTAAAATATCACAGAAATGCATTTTTAAACCAAACAGTAGCTGTGTTTTCAAGTGACAGTAGCCATGTTTATGTATTTGATGAGTTATAACAAGTACTAACAAGGTTTTGACAGGTTTATTTTTGTTCTTTGGAGAATTTATCTGTAAAATATAATTTTTAAAAAATGACAAGCACTTTAAAAAAAAAAAATTTTTAAAGTACCTGGTAATCTTAAAAATGTCGGAAAATATTCTCTGTAATCTAATTTTAGGAATGTTGACTTTAAATTTAGTATAGTCATCATTCTTATTTTCTGATAATGTTGTGTATTGTCCCCCCCCATACTTTAAAAAATAATACATAAAAAATATTCAAAAGTCTTTTAAAATCTTGGTGTTCAATGGGTGGTATCAAGCTTTACCATTTATGATAAGTAAATATAGTTTTCACTTAATAATATAATGTAAATGGCTGAAATTAATTCAGAATTTTAAGATATAAAACTTAAATATTCTAATTAAAAAAAAAAAAATGGAAACTTGTAAAAATTAATTTTTCATTGAAAAAAAAAATTTTTTTTTAAGACAATAATAGTGTCCTTAATATATTTTATTTATAAAAGCAATTAAAAGCTTTCCTAATTAAATAATGTCATAGTTTTGTTGTATTTTTTTATTTTGTGATTCAGAGCAGATTTTCAGTAAATGGTGTTCCTGCTTGACAAAAACAGTGATTACTAAAATTCTCCAAAGAGTCCTGCTTTTAACTAATATAAATATGAAGAGGCTGAAATTTAAATTTCTCAAAATTTCATAAAATTAAGTGGGGGGGTAACAGACGTAAAAATAAAAATATTTTTACCAAGATCTAAAAAAAAAAAAATTAAAAAATAATTTCATTTGTGAATAACTCCTGAAAGTTTCATTAAAATCCTACAATTATTTGATTTTTGCAAAAATTTCCAAATATGTTTTTTATTGGAAAAAAGGTGCTAAAACACCCATTGTAATCTTTGGCTGACCACTGACACACACACAAAAAAAAAAATAATAATTTTTAACCAAAATTTCAAATGTGCTAGAAAGGATTAAAAAATTTAATAAATAGTAAAAAAAATCTTTTGTTCTTTCCTCTTATTAATAACATAAACATTTTTATGATAAAACATTGTTTTTATTATTTTTGGTGGTATGGCATTGTATTTATTTACTTGTTTCATTTAGTCCATTGTGGTAGAGTGTTCTAATTCCATGTGCTATGCCTTTTCTGGTTATCTACCCTTGTGGACTAAATACAGGTCTAGTTTGAAATTCAAACATATCACCTGATGAAGCCTGAAGTGTATAACAATCAAAATGTTGTGAATATAGCAATAAAGATAAGAACAGCAGTTCAAATGATGCCTTTTATTTAAGTATATACATATATATATATATTTTTAAGATGAGGTCTTGTAATTATTTACACTATTTACATTGTTCAGACTGTTGTCCTTATCTTTATTGCTATATTCACTGCATTTCAATGATTGTATGCTGATACAAGTGAACACTCAATTTCAGGAATATTAGCTCAGGATGGTCATCCCATTATGTATCTTTTGAGAAAAGCTGAATTGAACTACTTAGATATTGAGAAAGAAACATTGACCATAATATGGATGACAAACAGAGCTCATCAGTTTTTGATTGGAAAGAAATTCCTGCTAAGGTCCAACCATAGACCTTTAGAATTCATATTTAATCCTCAGGTAACATTGTCTAGAATTTTAAGATGGGCCATAATATTAATGGCATTTGAGTTTGATATTGAGTACATGAAAGGCAATACCATTCCACATGTAAACATTTTGTCGTGATTGAGGTTTATTACTTCTGAATGTAAGAAAGAGGAGGAAAAATTTGAAAATACTTTCTTACACTGGGTCAAGCTGAGGATACAAAGCGCGGTCCCATATTGAACAGTATATTGTTCATGATAAAAAATAATAGGTTTAACCACTTTAAATGCCTTTCTGCCCATGAGCAATTATTACACTTAAGTTAACTGTAGAGAAGGGTGTAATTTGTAATGTAGTGGTTCTGCCAGCAACATAAAGGAACAAAATTATAAAAAGTATACATGACTATGTTTATTGCAGAATAATATCTATGCAAAGGAGATTATGGCTGGAGGCATGGTGGCCAGGCTATTCTAAAGATGTGGAAGTATACATAAAATGGTGTAAAAATGTGCAATGCCAGTAGAAAATTTAGACGGACAAAAACACATACATGGCCTAAAGAGTCCCAACTTTGGGACAGAGTACACATAGGTCATGCCCATGTTAATAGAGTGGGATTATTACTAATAGTGGTCGATTCATATTCAGGCTGGCCAGAAGTAATACAAGTCTTCAACAAAAGAAGTTTGATTGTGAAACAAGTGTGAAGGATAATATTTTCAAGAAATGGAATTCCTAAAATATTAGTTTATGACAACACCCCAGGGTTCTGTAACAAGGAACTATGCCAATGGTTGAATAAAATTAGATGCAAATCATCTACCCCCACCATGGTGCAAACTATAAAAAACAGTTTGAAAATATGTGTACACTGGAAAGAAAAGATAGAAACATTTCTTCCTAGACTGTTGCTATGTTATAGGACACTACCACATGCTGGAAGATTGAAAAGCCTGTCTGCTCTCAAGGATAGACAAATTAGAACTCCATTGACCATATGCCATCAAAATCTTTGGTATAAAAAGAATTGTGAATCTAATCTACAAGAGGCAAGATTCATAATGCAAAGTGGACAGAACACTATGATAATAGAAAAGAATGGAAATTGGATATTAGTGCATGCAGACCAAGTTAGATTGCAAATTAGAGCCCACACTGACCATGCCCTATGCCACCAATGAAAAAATATGGTATAAAAAGAATTGTGAATCTAATCTGCAAGAGGCAAGATTCATAATTCAAAGTGGACAGAAAACTATGATAATAGAAAAGAATGGAAATGGGATATTAGTGAATACAGAACAAGTTAGATTGCAACATGATAGCAATGAAGATATGTACATTGAGCTTGAAAGTAATGAAGACGAAAATGTCAAGGCAAGACAAGCTAGACAATGAAATTGAGAGTAATATAGACTCTGAACCAGGACAATCATTATAGGAACACTATTATGAAAAAAGAAAAAAGGTCAAGATCTCCCATATCCAGACAATCTCTTAGGAGAGGGAGAAAGATAGCGAGGAGACAAAAGCTCCTAGAAGAAATACCAGGGAAAATAAGGGGAACAGGTATCTCTTCAGTGCAGGGAGATGTGATGACTCATTTGCATATGAAGTCACAAAGACTATATGTAGCTACAGCTGTTATCCATGAGGCAGTTGAGTGCATACTACTTCTCGTGAGTCAGAAACACTACACAAACAAACAAACTTTAATCTTTTTCACTCTGTATGTGACTTCATATCCTGAACAAAAAGTTTATCTTGACACCGAAGCTGACTCTGATCCCTGAACAATAGTGTTTGAATTTCATAGTTGTGTTATCATATCCTGCTATGGCAACAGAAAACAACTTTGAGTGAAATTAACAATAAGGATATTGAGAGACCTTGAAAAAGAATGCAGTGGAAAGGGAAGTGATATTAATAATGTAGTGAGCTAAAAGTTACACGCAAGTAACATTCTGTTACTTTTGTATATGCTTAATGCTAAATTGATTGCATTTCTTCCCACACTGACCTTTTTGCAATTAACATTTTTTTTATTGAAAATCTAATTGTCTCTATTTTTTTTTTCTAGGTTAATTCATTTCCTCTGGTGATAGTCATCTGTCCTCAACTACTGATTCCAGATCTGTTTTTAATCAATGACACACAGTTGTCGTTTATTGGGTCTGAAGTAGAGTGCGACTGAAAGAGAAAGAAGAAAAAAATAAAACAGCCAGACTCAACAGTTATCTCTTGTTTGCTGGAAATAAGATTTTTTATTTATTTTTTAACAAAACAAAATGGCTGAAGAGATGATACATTTTAGGTTTGAAGTTCTTGTGAATACATTGCCTGGAGAAGTTGTCTGTCTGACTGGAGATAATGAAGAACTAGGAAATTGGAATTATCAAAATTCCATCTTTTTACAGCCAAAGTCACTGCAATCAAGTGATGCTGATTTACCTGAAGGGCAAGTATTAATTTCCATTTTATTTTATTTTTATCTATTTAACAATTTCAGTAATTTTGCCATACATCACATTGCACAAACTTTGATTTTTGCCCATTCAAATATATAAAACTGAACCTCTGAAGATGGCCAGAAGGTACTAGGCTGAAACATTTCTATAATAATATCTATAATAGTCAATATGAGAACAATAATTCAAATAAAGTGTATCAACAATTCTTCATCTCAAAAGGCTTATGGTCATATAGTGTTGACATGCTGGTTTTCACATGATCACCAAAGTTAAGTAATGTTGAGCCTGGTCAGTAAATAGATGGGTGACTGCTTGGGAATACCAGGTACTGTAAGCTTGGACTTTTGGCTGGTGTAATGGATAACAGCTTGGAATTGGAAATCAGAGAGCCGAGTTCCAATTCCAGTCGGGTTCATTATATCCAGTTGTGTACAAACACTCCTGGGAAAGGTGTAAATTCAACTCTTTCCCCCCAGCTATGGGTTAATTAGTAGTACTTGTAACTGTAAATCATTATTATCTCAAAAAGATTTTACAATCTAAAAATATTTTCTGGCTTTAAAATAACCTGCAAAGGGTTGCTAAGCCATAAACCAATCCGTCGATGTATAAGTAAATCATTATTATTTCCAAAAGTTTATTTCAATCTAAAAATAAGCTTTGCTGGCTTTAAATAACCTGCAAACGGTTGCTAAGCTGTAAAAAAAACAATCCTCATTTAAAAAATACAAAATTATACAAAAGTTGTATGAACCTACTATGATGACCAAACATCAAAAACTATCTGGCATTGAATATAAAGGCTCCAAACACACGTTTGGGATAGTGGCATATTAGATATAATTGTTGATTAAGCATGTCTTGCTGTCATCTAGTGGTTCTGAGTTCAATCTCTGAATTAGATAGTGAAACAGCAAGAATGAACAAAAACTGACATCACGGGCAAAATAACATGATAATCAACAGATATCTCTTATCAGCCAATCAGTGGACACTCGATGATAGAGAGTACTTGACTGAAATGTTGTGTCTATGATAATGTCTATAATAATCAAGATAAAAGTTCAAATAAAGTATAATTGTCATTTAATTTATAATTTTTTAGCAATCTCCAACCTTTATAATAACCCATGTCTGTTTATTGCAATGTCATATGTTGAAGTTTATCATGCCTATTATGGAAGGCTTTGCAATATTACTGTATATTTGACTGTTTAATCTCCTGCATTTTCTTTTCTAAAGCTCTCCATAAGCACTTAAGACATCCTACCCTAAATCTATGTGTACTCTTTCAATATTAAAAATATACTTTCCTGCAATCAGTGAATTTACAGTAAAAAAAAATAAATCTTGGTGATGTTTGTACAGATTGGTTTGGTTTTGCTTTATGATATATCAGCATGTCAATGGTTTGTATGAATAGAATATGTATTCTTTGTAAGAAATCAGTTTGTAGATCAGGTTTCATTGATGTACTTTTTTAAAAAAAAAAAAAAAAAAAAGTGTTTTTGTTGAGAGTCAAATCTATTGCTGGTAATAATTTTTTTTCCAAAGATGTATTGCTAGTCATTTTTCATTGCTGGTATTTTTACTATAAAAACTTAATTTTGCACTTTCATGGTGTTTTGACTCTAGTTTGGAGGTCAACTATTTACCCATAGCTTGGACCCTAACAGGTGCTACCACCCTGAGTCAGGGTGGACCTGGGAACAACAGCAATTAAGAGGTGGTTCTATGCTCCTCAAAACCTCCTGATGAGAGGTCTTGCTGCCAGATATAGGGATGTAGTTTAATATTTGTAAAATTTGTTATGTCACCAGTCCAATATAGTCACTAAAACAGTCTTATATAACATTCATTCAAGTGAGAATGTTTGAAAAAAGGGAACTATTTGCTTTATAGTTTACAAAGCATGTGAATAACTTGGATTATAAATAATGACCATTAGCAATTTCTATGCTTTAGCCCAGTGGTTACCAAATGGTGTGGTGGAAGAGGATAGCAGGTGAGGCAGAATGATTTAAAGACAATCAAAGATTTAGAAACAGTTTCAAAAAATTCATATGCCAAAAATAAATATGATTTTATCATTGTGATATTTTTGCATTATATCAAGTATTAAAACTAGGGTCTGCAAACTGGAGGAGAGAGTTATCAATGATAAGAACTAAGGTCTGCAAATTTGAGAAGAGCGTTATCAATGATAATGTCCTGATTTTGAATCTACAGTTATCTCTCTTTAACCCTCTTACTGATTTTTTTTTATTTATAAATGTAATTTTTATCACAAAAATTTGGTGAGACGTATGCAAATTTTCATTCCAAAAATGTGGTACAGAAAAAAAAATTTGGGGAACCACTGCTTTAGCTTGTCTCTTAGAACCTGGTTAATACTGACATTTGCCATAACAAAGGTGGTAAAGTATCAATTGAATCTTGCCTCCAGTAAAAACCAGTACATTTTTTTTAACTAGACTCAATGTTTGCTCTTCCCATGGTTGGCATTGCTACTTCACTCATGCTGGTTTATCTTGTAGATCTAGAAACACTGGAAGCTTTTTTCTCTTATGTGGCATATGTCAGTATCAAGAAACCATGGATCTATGCCCAAAGAGTTATGCCTCAGCTGCTGATGGCACTTCAGCGTCTGTTATGTCTGTACAGGCCCACACTGGAGTGACAGTTTTAATTGCAATGAATGCATGTTAAGACACTCTCCTCCAATGTTGCCATGTTGTTTTCTTTCCTGTGAAAATATGCTTCACCCCAGTGGCAAGCCTCCATTTCTTCTCTCCTCACTCTAGTCCTTTGTGTAAATTGCATCTCCAGTGCAAGTGATTGTTGGAGACATCTTCCCATGTCCATCGCCCTCATGTCACTTTTCCTTGAAGCAAAGATGTTTATTGCCAGCAACGTGATTGGGTAAACAAAGCACTGTCATAATTTTCTTGCTTTCACAAACAGAAAACATATTATTCTCCAGTATCACAATACAAGGGCACTCACTGTCAAATAAAAAACAATATTGTTAGGATAGGTTTTTCCATGTCCTCTATACTTACAAAATTTAGCACCCACAGAGTTTTATTTTGAACCCTCAAATATTTCATAAGTGGGAGAACATTCAGAAACAAAGCTGAAGTCTTTTTCCCAATCTTTATTTGTGGGCAACCCAGATTTCTTTAAATGGAGAATCGAAAACTTACTAGCTTGTCAGGTTGCAATCATTGAAAATGAAGTTGATCACTTCTTTAGTAAATAATATTTAAATAAATTTAACTTACTTATGTTTTTATATCCTTTCTGGTAAAATTTAATCACTTTCTGAACAGACTCATAGTTAATAATTTTCAATTCACATCTCCCAAGTTACTTTTGTTATTTCACAAAGCCTGGAATCTATTCTTGATTTCTCTTATCTAATGATAATAAAATAATCTATGAACAGGCTCTTAAGAAAAGTAAACATAAGAATAAATTAGAATATATTGATATGGATGATGACCTTAGAACACAAAAACAAACACAAAACTAGAAGTAGAAACATATTATGGTTCAACTCCCCATATAATTCAGCGGTGAAAACTAATTTAGGCAAAGTATTTTTTAGATGACTTGAACAAAACTTCCCACAAAACATAAAATCTTTAATAAAAACTATGTTAAATTCAGCTATATTTGTATGCCCAACATGGCTAGTTTACATGAGAAAAATTAAGGACAAACCAAGTACGCCCCCCCCCCCATGTAATTGCAGGAATAAGAAAGCCTGCCCCCCCCCCCTCCAGGGAAAGTGCCAGTAAGAGTGCGTGGTATATCAAGTAAAAATATACAAGGATAAACTTAGCAATACTGATGAAAAACCAAAAGTATATATAGGATCTACCCAAAATAGTTTTAAAACCCGATATATAACCATCTTAGTAGCTTTAGCAACGAAAGATACAAATATAACACCACGTTATCCACTTACGTATTGAAAATTAAACAAGACTATAATAAAGACCCCATTTTGAAATGGGAAATATTAAAGAAATGCCATAAGTATAAAGCAGGTAATAAATTTTGTCCTCTATATATAGAGGAAAAGTTAGCCATCGCTTTGTATAAAGAACCCAGCAATTTGCTAAATCTGAAATACTGAGTAAGTGTAGACACAGGAAACACTGGTTACTAGTATAGGTTTTATTTTCTCTTTTCTTTTTTCTTTTTTTTTTTTTTTAATTGAATAAATATGTATTATCCCCTACCGTTGTTGAGTTACTGTTTATTGTTTTTTTTTTGGGGGGGGGTCACATGGTCATGTTTTTATGTTGTAGGCTATTTATATTCTAATGTTCCTCTTTGGCCAGCACACCCTGACAATCAGCATAGGTGAAACCTAGGTAGGTTTGCCTAGCTCTTTAGGTTCATAGTGAGATATATATATATATATATATATATAAAAAACAGACCACTTTAAGGTTCCATGTAATAAGTTATTTCACCACAGCCCTTTTAAAGGGCTCCGGATCATCAGACTTTACTTCCAAAGGTTGAAATGAAAAATGAAAAGAAATTTACACATTTTTGACGGACCGTATTAAGCATATGTAAATTAATGAAGTGAGGAAGTGAGTTTAATTTATGAACAAAACTCAAACAAATAGATGTCAACTTAATAATCAACAAGAAAAAAGTTTAGGAAAATAAAAAAGATTACTAGATGTAAAATAAATTATTCTTTCAATGTACTTTCTATGAATTTTTTTTTTTTTTTCCAATCGACTATTTCATAGAAAATACCCAAAACTCCAACAAACATCAAATTAAATTCTTCATAAATTTTGTAGACATTTAGATTTATATCAAACTTTAACCCCCAAATATACCCTTTAAAGTAATGCGAAATAACAGCGTCTAAGAAATTAAGTGAATCCTTCTCTCATCAGGATTGTTTTATTTTATCTTCTTCCTTTTATGTCGGCTTTCCTCTTCACCACTTACCCATCCATATCTAAAGATAACATAAGTTAAGCGTTTGTCTGGCCCACACCAAGTGGGGTTAGGGATAAAGAATTGAAATGGTACATCTAACTCACTCATGTCTTCTCTCCCCCCTCACCTCCTCACTTCATTAATTTACATATGCTTAATACAGCCCGTCAAAAATGTGTAAATTTCTTTTCATTTTTCATTTCAACCTTTGGGAGTAAAGTCTGATGATCCATAGCCCTTTAAAAGGGCTGTGGTGAAATAACTTATGGAACCTTAAAGTGGTCTGTTTTTTATTCAAACATATTTGCTCTGAAGTTACATTGAGCTCTCCGGATATCATCCTCCTTGGGTCTACTCATACGGATTACCTAGTTTTGCATAAACTATATATATATATATAACTTTTTTTTTCTTTTTTTTTTTAATCTTACAGGTACAGTGTTTGGAGATGTGAGATCACTCTTCCAAGAAGATCTATGAAGTATCGTTATTTTACCTGCCTTTTTCCGGATTCATCAATGAAAACAGGAAATCTGATTATCTCCCGGTGGGAGGCAAATTATGAACCCAGAGTTTGGATTCAATCAGGTTGGTTGAAATTTGACCCAAGTTTACTTTATTATTATTATTATTATTATTATTATAACATTTAAGAGAAGAGCACAAAGAAGAAAAGAAAAACAGTGTTTGACAATGTTAGACAATATTTTTTCAAGTTATATTTAAAAAATAAAAATTTCAAGTATAAATATATATAAATCTACAAAATATTATAAGTCTTTGTACAAATGTTGCTTTTCTTGTTATAAAAAACAGTTGTAGTGGTAGTCAATGGATCAAAATGAATGACATGCTGCCAGCGTGAAGTCATGCAAGTGAAACGTGTAGCATTTCATTCATTTTGATGAGTTAATTACCCATACAGCCATTTTTTTTTTATTACAAGACAAGCAACATTTGTACAAAGACTTAATTTTTTATAGATTTATATATTTTTATACCAGAAAAATTTTTTTAAATATAGCTTTAAGAAGACAATGTCAAAATATTGTCTGACATTGTCAAACACTTTTTTTCTTTTCTTAATTCATGTTTTTCTCTTATTTTGAAAAATATCGGAAGGGTTATGTTAATCATTTTGTTTATTATTATTGTTATTATTAATATTATTATTATTCATTTGGTTTCAATAAAAAAAATTGCAAATTGAAGCATTATGCTGGCTATTAAGATCAGTGCATTGAATTGTTGGATAAGTCTGCAGCTTAATAATGTAAAAAGCATTTTTTATTGCGCAAAGTATTTGTTTTTCAATAGCCCCTTTGTCAATGCACATCATTGTCAATGCACTTAATTCATTGGTGAATATTAATCACATAGATTGGACATGAGACAATAAAAAATATTTCATGTTAAAAATCCAGCCAGTCTGTCAGGTTACTAATTGATCCAACCTCATATTTGGTACCATAGAAGTTTTAAATATGCTGATGGCTGCTGGATTGAACATTTTAGTTAAATGAAGAGGTGTTGAAAAGTTATTGGCCTAGCACACTTTATCTCTTTTCAGTTTTTCTCTCTCTCTCTTTGTACTGTTTCCTTTCTCTCTCTCTCTCTCTCTCTCTTTGTACTGTTTCCTTTCTCTCCCTCTCTCTCTTTGTACTGTTTCCTTACTCTCCCTCTCTCTCTTTGTACTGTTTCCTTACTCTCCCTCTCTCTCTTTGTACTGTTTCCTTACTCTCCCTCTCTCTCTTTGTACTGTTTCCTTACTCTCCCTCTCTCTCTTTGTACTGTTTCCTTACTCTCTCTCTTTGTACTGTTTCCTTACTCTCCCTCTCTGTACTGTTTCCTTTTTCTCTCTCCCTCTCTGTACTGTTTCCTTTCTCTCTCTCTTTGTACTGTTTCTTTTTCTCTCTCTCTTTGTACTGTTTCCTTTTTCTCTCTCTCTTTGTACTGTTTCCTTTTCTCTCTCTCTTTGTACTGTTTCCTTTTTCTCTCTCTCTCTCTTTGTACTGTTTCCTTTTTCTCTCTCTCTCTTTGTACTGTTTCCTTTTTCTCTCTCTCTCTTTGTACTGTTTCCTTTTTCTCTCTCTCTCTCTTTGTACTGTTTCCTTTTTCTCTCTCTCTCTTTGTACTGTTTCCTTTCTCTCTCTCTCTCCCCACACTGTTTCCTTTCTCTCTCTCTCCCACACTGTTTCCTTTCTCTCTCTCTCCCCACACTGTTTCCTTTCTCTCTCTCTCCCCACACTGTTTCATTTCTCTCTCTCTCTCCCCACACTGTTTCATTTCTCTCTCTCTCTCCCCACACTGTTTCATTTCTCTCTCTCTCCCACACTGTTTCATTCTCTCTCTCTCTCCCCACACTGTTTCCTTTCTCTCTCTCTCCCCCCACTGTTTCCTTTCTCTCTCTCCCCACACTGTTTCCTTTCTCTCTCTCTCCCCACACTGTTTCCTTTCTCTCTCTCTCTCCACACTCTTTCCTTTCTCTCTCTCTCCCCACACTCTTTCCTCTCTCTCTCTCTCTCTCTCTCTCTGCCCTCACCATTTCCTTTTTCTTGTTTCAAAATAAATTTTTTTTAACTTTTTTGTTTTGAAGGGCTTCTTGTGAAGTTAAATGTCTTTTATTTATTTATTTTTTTAAATATTTATTTTTATTTTTTTATTGAAAAGACATCCATCTTTATCAAAATGCAAGATTTTTTATTCTTATTGGGCATTTTTTCCCCTCCCTTTCAGATGATTTACTCAGTGATGTGCTAGTCTGTGATACATTTGGTAATATTGGTAAGTTGTACCACAAACATCTTCATCAACCACATTTTGTTCCAATAATTTATGAATTTGATATTTTTAGTAACAGCTCTGTTTTTCTTGAATTTGGTAGATATTTAGTTGAAATATTTGTCTGTGCATATTTATATGTCTGTGTGTATATATGTTTTTCAACTCTTGGAATTAGTGTCAAAGACTGGGAAAAAGTGTCAGAGAATAGGTCTGGTTAAAGAAAGAAAGGTGATGTAGACTCATTCCCAGAAGATATTCAGTCTGAGCTTGTATATAATATTGTTTCATTTTGACTCTCTATGACTATCCACAGATTCTTGTCTTGTCTGGGAATTACCATGCTGCCTTAGGAAAGATAGTGAAGTGGTTTCTCTTTGCCTTCTCCACAGTTTGGAAATCAGAGTTTTCCTTCTTAGGCTGGTTGCCACTCAAGGCTAGAGAGTTCAATTTACTCTGCTATTTAACACATAGCTGGGTGTCGGGGGATCTATAATGCTCTGCAAGACCATCATCAGTCCCATGACCAGGTGTGGTCATGGGAGTCACTATGCAGCTTCTCACCTGACCAGTTCCATCTACATATCTAGGTTGAAAGTTGGAGAGGTATTCATTCATGTGTAGCATGTCATATGCAAATAGACCTAGTGGAGCCCATCCCTCTCTGGGTCAAATATCCTCCTGGGTATGATGATAAACTACATTCAGCAGCAAGTCCTCTGATCAGAAGGTTTTCAGAAGTGAGAAACTGCCTCTTAATAGTTGTTGTTCTCAGGTCCACCCTGATCTGGGGTGGTAGCACCGGTTAGGGTTCCAGCTATGGGCAAGTAGTTAACTCCTAAACTGGGATCAAAACACTATAGAAGTATAAAAATAGATTTTTATAGTTAAAATATCAGAAATACATTTTTGAAAATATATATATAAAATAAATGCAAATATCAGTGTGTCACATTTTTCAACTTTACTCCTAGAGGCCATAGTTCAAAATATCATACCATTTTGGAATTGTGCAGACTCTGTGAGCAAATTAAAAACATTCTGGGCCTGATCTGAACTGGCAATTCTGAAAATTTGGATTCCTAAGTTTTCATTTACTGGATTCTGTCATCTTGGTTTCTACTGATAAAAAGAATTAAAGGGACACAACTCTCTAACTTGCAATAGCTCATTTACAAATGAAAAAAATTACTGTTCTCAAATTACAATGTTTCAAAATAAAATTGTCCATGTTTTCAACTTTACTCCTAGAGGCTGTAGATAAACATATCGTATTATCTTGGTATCAGGTTGATTCCATGAGCAAATGAAAAACCTTCTGGGTCAGATCCGGACCCGCAATCCTGAAATTTTGGATTCTCAAGTTTTCATTACGGTGATTTTTTTTTTTTTTTTTTTTTTGTGACAAATTCTTTTGTAAATTAACAATTTTTATAACTTGGAAATAAAATTAATTACAAAATCCAGCAAAAGTCACCAATGAAATAATTGTCTGTAGGGAAATTAAGGACCTACGTACATCAAATTGTCCTTAAATTAAGTGACAGCTGAAGAATTATCATTGAATTTTTAAAAGGTAAGCTGAAATATTAATGCAATACTTAAATGCAGTGATCAATTTTGGGTTCTTCTGTAGTTTATTGCTGCCTATTGCATCTACTCCTTCCTGCCTATATGATAAAGGCCCAATCAAGAACCCTCCTAAGGAGCTAGCCTAAATACCCCCAATAGGACAGCTTTTAAGCTAATATATAAAATCAGCATTTACATTTAAAAAAAAAGAAAATGAAAAGTATAAACTGATTTCTTACAAGAAATACATATTCTCTTCATATGAACTTATCCTAAAAATGTTGTCAGCATTAAATAACCCACTAAGGCTGATATGCTGTAAAATAAACTAAACCAAGTCAAATGACAGCTGATGCCTTCTATCTTGAATGATTACCTTGGTCACAGATACATGGTGGTTGTTTGTTCCATCATGGGGACCTTTGCACTGGCCGTTGACTTCAATTTAGGAAGCTCATTACCACACTACCGGCATCCATAGCAGTGGAGCCTAGTCTACCCCATTGTGCTAGATGGCCATTAACCTTACAAGGAAGTTCATCCACCCTTTGACAAGTCTTGTTTTTAATCTTACTGGGTGTCTAACTGCTCTCCTCACCAGAAAAAGCCTGATGGAGGAACCAGTTTAATTGCTGATGACCCAGCCATACAATACTTGGTTACATTGTACTAGTAACATTCATAAAGTGATCTGACTTAAGTTCTGTAAGATCAGCACACTTGTAATCACTTTCTAGAAGGTTCCTTATTTAAGCCTGAATTGATCAAAACTATGTTACTTACAAACACAATGACAAATCAGAAGATCCCTTTGTTCTCTTGAGGCCAATGATGATCAGGTGCTATGCTGATGACATAGGTATTCATAGTTGGGATAAGAATGATCTTGAACAGAAAATCAACATCCTCTACCAAATATTTACACTATTTACATTGTTCAGAATGTTATCTTCATTTTGACATATTCACAACGTTTTGGCGATTTTTCTCTTTATTTTTGAGATGAGGCATTATATACACTACGTTATTCAGTTACATGGCACAGTGGATAAAGGTGTTGGTTAGATCCAGTGACAGGACCCAAAGGGAGTGAGTTCAATACCCGGTTAAGGTAGTGGAGAACTTTAAGAGGGAAATTAACAAGAGATAACTGATAACTGACATCCATTAGACATGTCACATAGAACTAGAACAGTCTACTCCAGTGAGCAAAATAAAGGGTACAGTTCAACATTCCAAACACCTGAAGAAGGCCAGAGCGTACAACGGGTGAAACATTGTGATAAATATGGCAACAAAGATGAGGACAATAGTCCGAATAATGTAAATAGTGTTTCAACCGTTGTACGCTCTGGCCTTCTTCAGGTGATATTTGTTGGAATTTCTAAAACTCTTTCTTTAGCCCATGGGGGTAAATTGTTTTAATTCCACATGAAATGCCTTTGGATATCTCAGTTTCAGTTAATTCCCTTAGTAACTCAACTCTCCAAGTTCTGTTCCTTCTGCTGTGGTTAGGTATTGAACTTACAACTCTTTAGGTCAAATCACTTTTTTGATCACTCAACCAACACTCTTATCCACTGGGCCATGTGACAACAACAATAAAGATGAGGATAACAATCCAAACAATGTAAATAGAGTAAATAGTTACTATACCAAGTGTTACATGAAACAGGACTCAAAGTAAACCTTTCCAAAATTGAAACTATGATCTGGAATTGGAATGAAATGCAGTGATGGCACATAACCTGAATCCATCTTAAAAATTCAAGAGGTGTAATCAGTAAATACCAAATACCAAACACTGCAAATTCCTCAGTGTTTGGATCAGTTATAACAAATTTAGTTTTGGAGACCAGGAAATTGAACATAGAATAGGCTGTGACAGAAGTAGTTTGTCCAACATGGCAAATTACTGCAAAACCAAAACATTAACTTGTAAACTCAAATCATTTTCTCAAATAGCTTCATCAGATCAAAACTTTCATATGGTTGTCATGCATGTCACCAGAAACATTCAGAAATATCTGTCCTGGGTAAGATGATAAACTACGTCCAACAGCAAGGCCTCTGATCAGGTGGCTTTGAGGAGCATTGAGCCACCTCTTGGTTGCTGGTGTTTCCGGGTCCACCCTGACCCGGGGTGGTGGCACCTGTTGGGGTCAAAGCTATGGGCAAGTGGTTGACCCCAGAACTGAGGTAAAGAGCATTGTGAAGGTGTAAAAATAGGTTTTAATACTGGACATACTTTGTAAAAATTATTACCAAAAATAAATTTTTGAAGAAAAAAATTATTACCAGCAATATATTTTTGAAAAAAAAAAAATTACCTGCATTACATGTTTTAAAATAACATAACCAGATATTAATGAGGAAAAATATATTACCAGAAATAGATTTTTGACAAAACAAAATCTTACCAGAAAAAAAAAAGTTGTCATTATTAAATAACTCATTGAGGTTGATATGCCGTAAAACGCAACAAACCAAACCAAACCATTCAGAAATATCTAAACTGTCAGCTGTATACAACCACTTCCTAAGATCAGTGGCAAAAAAAAGGCTTTGAGCAAGTAAAACCTGATGGTCTTGGTAAAGACCATCTTTCTCTGAACATTGTAGACTGATGGTACAGAATCACAAAAAAAGAACTGTACTAAACAACAGAAACCACATCACTTGACTTTCAATAACAACAGCAACAAATGAAATGGATAACACATGTATTTCAAAGAGAAAATAACATGATCAAGATATTTACATTCCTCACTACTTCAAACAAAAGATTAGGAAGTAAACCACCATCAATACTGGAAAGAGCAATAACAGCTACTGGACTTGAAAGACCTGTTTTCCTTAAAAAAAAAAAGTCTTTTCAGGGAATGATTTCATAAATTTCAACTGAAAACAGTTCTGGCTGCTTGGTCAATGAATGCCAAATGTTTTCTTGTAGGGAAACAGCTAATATTACCATTATCAATAATAATAAAACAGTACCCTTTATCAGCCGAATATATAGTTGACACTTTAAAAGAGCACTGTCCCTCATATCTGGGTGTCAGTGGGTTAGGGGGGAAAAATACCTACTTCGTTCTTGTACATTATCAACAAGAGATAATGATTTAATATATGTGCATTAATGAGACTAATTCTTATAATTAGCATTAAAATCTCTGTTACTTTCTTTACAAATCCAGATTGTGTTAAATAAAATCTAAGTTTTGTAAATCATTAATGAAACCCAGTGTCTTCAAACTGAGATACATTTGAAAGCCCAATATTCCTAAATTTTGGATTAAGTTCAATTCAAAAACTGAACAATATGACAGCCCTGATGCATCCAATACCTATTGGATACAAGGGTGTGGCACAATGGGTCCCCACTTGGTTGGTTAAAATACCTAAATAATCAAGTTTACTGTAAATGATATTTATCTGGACTTGGAGTGATTAGCAGTTTTATGACAACCAGTTGCTAATAAAATCAAGATGTGAATTTCAAAGCAACCTCTTGCTGTCCAGAATTAGAGAAAAGTAAATAAATCAATAAAAACTTTTGGGATCCAGCGCCATTCAGCTGGAAGGTAGGGAATTCCAATCATGGGCTGATATAGGCAGATCACATTCTAGATAAGGGAATTCAGAGTAAGAAGAGAGAGGACCCATCTGTCCAACAAGTCATGTTTATTGATAACAGTCACTCAGCAGAAGTAGTTGAAGGGACCTAAGTACTATTTAATTTGGCCAGTGGATAAGGAGGATTCTTTTTTTTTTCTTGCCATGGTGGTATTTCATCTTTCATTCCTTTGAGAACTTACATCAGGCCTATTCATAGTTCTGTTTGCACTGATGCAGATGGCAATCAAAAGACTGAATAGGGTGAAGCTGTCTAATTAGTTAAAAAAAAAAACTGCTGAGGAGAGTGTACTAGTGTCCTGGTATTGTCTCCCACCTCAAATTTATAGGCAAAACACAATGCATGCTGGGATTTCTTTCTAGCCCTTAAGAAAGGTCACTTTTTGTGGACATGAAAGTGAGACTAACCTTAGCTCTCGACATAAGAGGGTTCGTTTGAGTCTGGCGTGCAGGGCAGTAATTGGTCGGAAGGAAGAAACACCACCATTACGGTGAGTCGGACTTATGGAAAACGCAATCTCGTAGCTGCGAGGATTGGCAAGAGGTGAACATGGCCGTATGCAAATTGGTTGGTGTTCGCTGGCATAAATGTGACGGTGGGATACCACTCGGGAGAGTTGTGTGTAGCAAACTACGAGGCGGTGTTGGAATAATTGAGTGCAAAGATCGGTGGAGTTTTGTAGCTAAATTGTTTTGAGCAACCTTTCTTGAAGCTGAGGAGTTTTGTTTCTTCCGGAAGTAGGCGGTGCCGAGCCAACCCGTTCCCTTCCTATTGTTTGGTCCTAATTTTACTTACACTTCTCAGTCTCATTTGACTTAGTTCTGACTAGGTACTTAGCCAGGGTTGACAATGCTTAAATTTGGAAAAGTTAATCCATCAATGTCCATTGTCCCACTTTTGAAAGGGTGGGCATTTTTTTTTCTTACAATGGTGTCCATCCTGTACAAAGCTCAGGGGCCACTCAAGGTAGAGGGTTACAGAAGGTTAATGAGTTATAGGTAGAAATCAATAGCCCTTCCGCTACCTCTCACCCCACACAAAAATACAACATATTGCACAGTGACTCCTTATGTATATTTATTAGTAGAATAAATTTTAGCTTTCTTATTATACATTGAGTACTGTTATCACCAGCACTCAGTGAGCACTAATAATATATATAAAAAGTGCACAGTATTTTTAAATGTATATAAAATGAAAAAATCAAAAATATAAGCAGTAAATTGCTGATATCCTCTGAAGAGTGGACGGACTGGTATGCTTACAAAATTCTGGAGTTGGGATGCTGATCATCAATCAGCTAAGTGATAAATTTTTACTCACATTGATCTCACACACACACCCACACACACACACACACATATATATATATATATATATATATACACACACATGATTTGTTAAAAACAACTGACAAGGTACTGTGATTAAGCTTTTTATTTAATTTTTCTTGTGTTTGAACAAGTGTTTTCTTTTCTGGACACAAAGTGTGTAAAAACTGTCTAAAAGTTCTTCATATCTGCGCGCTTTTGGGTATTATTCAGTGATGTATTCAGTGCCGATAAAATGACCCTGAATACATCACTGGATAATATTTATCGTTCAGCCAAGATAACAATTGCTTAAATACATGTGCCATAGTTTAAGTTACATGAAATCAAAAAGGTCTTTCAACTGTTAGTAGTCTCCTGACCTTAAACTCTCTTTCAATAGAGCCTATACAACATACCCAAAAGTGGTGTTTCCTGGGGTGGACTGCCCTCTCCTCAAGCTTTAATAGGCCTCAAAATATGCTAATTGTGCTCTTGAACCGGTTTTGACCAATCACAGCTTTTCTTGCCCCTAATAAAAGAACTACAACATTGCATTCCTTTGTTTTTTGTGGGTGAAAATGGTAGTTGTTAATCCAGATTGTTGGTTCCAGACCAATAATAGGAATGATTGCAAAACACTTCCCACTCCTCAATTAATAGACAAAACCACACAGATGCTTGTTTCTTCCTAGCCAATATGATAGGCCACTTCTTGGTTTCATCTAACTCAGTCCTGATCTGTCTTGTCTTGGAGTCGGAACGCTGTGTTCATTAATCCAAATCTGCTCTTGTGTATCAACACCAATTCTTAGTATATGAACGTTTTGCCATATTACTGTTGCTTTGCTTTATTACTGTTCATTTGCCTTGCATATATTATTTTTTGATATGTTCTTTTCTTTTCCTTGTTATTGCTTATTACAAACTTTGTCAATTCTTCTTGTTCGACAGTTCTGTTACTTATTTTGCATTTGACCATAGCTATTCACTCCACATGGACAAACATTTCTAAGCACTACTTAGTACATGAAGTTGTGGAGAGCCTTGATCGACAACATCATGAAAGAATATGGCGCATGAATAAGAAAACATCTGCTGAGATACAAACATGCTACTATCTTCTAATCATGTCCTTATGTAGTGTCTTCACTTTTACAGGAACAGCACTATAGCATATACCTTCTTTTTCAAACTTCTGAGTGTTTTTTCTTGCATGTCAATGCCAATTCTTAGTTTATGAACTTTTTGCCATATTACTGTTCATTTGCCTTGTATATATTGTTTGCTTGTTTTATATTATTTTTTTCACTGTTCTTTGTTTTTCTTGTTGTTTGTTACAAACTTTGTCAGTCTCTTTGTTGGATAGTTCTGCCAATTACACTGCCACCTATAGCCACTTACTCTCCACAGAATTTTGATTTACAAGCCTGGTATTTTTTTATTTTTATATTATTTGACTGATTTATGACCCTTGGAATTCCAATTCCAGATTTGAGATTTTTGGATCTGGACCTCCCCGGTTGCTACTATCTTGTATATAATACTGGATTTTACAGTGGGTATTAATGAGTTAAAGAAAATTGAACTGTTATGTAATATCTGTCCTCCTATATGGTAGTGAATGCTGGACAATCTCGTCACAGATGAAGAAGAAACTTGAAGCAATAGAAACAAAGAAAAGAGTACTGAACTGTTATGTAATATCAGTCCTCCTATATGGCAGTGAATGCTGGACAATCTTCTCACAGATGAAGAAGAGACTTGAAGCAACAGAAAAAAAAGAAAAGAGTACTGAATTGTTATGTAATATCATTCCTCCTATATGGCAGTGAATGAGGGACAATCTCCCAACAAATGAAAAAGAGACTTGAAGAAAGAAAAACAAAGAAAAGAGTACTGAATTGTTATGTAATATCAGTCCTCCTATATGGCAGTAGATGCTAGACAGTCTCCTCACAGATGAAGAAGAGACTTGAAACAACAGAAACAAAGAAAAGAGTACTGAACTGTTACATGATATCTGTCCTCCTCTATGGCAGCAAATGCTGGACAATCTCCTCAAAGACAAAGAAGAGACTTAAAGCAACAGAAAAGTGGTACTGTAGAAAGCTACTGAGAACCCCATGGACTGAACATGTGAGCAATGACAAAGTTTTAGAGAAAATGGAAACAAAAAGGAAATTTATAATTAACATCAGGAAGAGAAAGTTGAAATTTCTGGGGAACATAATAAAGAAGAAAGGGCTTGGAAAATCTGATACTCACAGGACAAATTGAGGGACAAAGGAAAGCAACATGTAATATACTTGATGAGCTAGAGTGAATGGATGATAGAATGGGCATTATTTACATTATTCGGACTATTGTGCTCATCTTTGTCGCCATATTTATTACAACCGGGTGGAGAACTTTTAGAGGAAAATTAACAGGAGATAAATGATAACTGATATCCATTAAACATGGCACATGGAACTAGAACACTCTATCCTAGTGAGCAAAATAAAGAGTTAAATTCAACATACCTGAAGAAGGCTGGAGCATACAATGGCTGAAACGTTGTAATAAATATGGCAACCAATATAAGGAAAATAGTCTGAATAATGTAAATAATGTACATAATACCTCATCTCAGAAATATAGACAGATACTGATAGTATGGGGTTTGGGAGAAATAAGAAAAAGACAAAACTTATTAAGTGCTACAAGGGACAGGAAGGTGTAGAGAGCCATGATCGCCTACATCCTGAAATGACATGGCACTTAGAATAAGAAGAATGACCTTGAGCAAATGGATGGTAGAACAGGGTTTGGGAGAAATAGCAAAAAGACAAAAATTATTAAGAGCTACAAGGGACAAGAAGATGTGGAGAGCCATGATCGCCTAAAAATAAAGAAAATTACTTCATCTCAGAATTGAAATAATATGGAAATAACTTCAGATTTCATTACTCTTACTCATTTTCTGTTGTATCCTTAAGAGGTTACAAACAAACAAAGATGGTACTTGAGTGAAGGAACAGTAACATGCTTGTAGATGAAAGAAGAGAGGTTTATTGTAAAAGAGAATACACTACTGAAAGACAGGGAATAAGGTGGCAGGCTATTAATTCCCAAAGCAAGCCTCCAGGTATATTCTGTGCTCACTATATATAGCTACTGATATAGTCAGTTCACATAGGCGATAGGGAGTGTGGGACATTCCATTACAACACCTCCCCCAAGCTAATTTTGCTCAATACCTCTTCTTTTTGGGGTCAGGACATAACTGGTTGTCTTTTTTCCTCTTCCTCGTACTTTTCCATCTCACCATTTTCTGAAATTAAGCTAATTTACACTTTTTTAAAAATTTAACGTTTTTGTGTTTGCAATGCTTCCCCCACCCACCATTATTCTTTGTAATTTTGAGTAGTTGGTCAGTTATGAAGGTTTTAAATTGGAGTATCCGTCAATAATTTTGCTTCTGATTTTCTTCACTTTCTAGATGACAAGGACTGCATCAGCAAAGGTTGGCTCACAATGCAGACAGAAGTGAATCTTCGTATTGTACCAGGGTGTATCACTTTGTGGAATGAAGACTTACATATAAAATTTATTAAGTGCACTCCTTTTGAAATGGTAAGTGCATAATTCCAGTTAGATATTGCATCATCCAAACTAATTTTCTTGTCTTCACTGTTATTGTTCCTCACCTTCTAAAAGAAAAAAAATAGTACTAAAATATTCATGGAAATATTGACCTTAAAATGGTAATGCTGCTGGAATTAGTCCGAGAAAGTTTGCAAGTCCTATCCAAGTAGATGAGTAGAAGCACTATGGGAACACATATAGGTAAAGTGGGAAAAGAATTTGAGGAACTCATCAGAAGGTGATTCTTTGATATTTATGGAAAGGGAAAGTAATACCTCTTTAAATCAAGTTTCAGAATTTCAAAATATATGGTATGGTAGAAATATCTTCCACATAATGATAAGACATTAGCTTGATGAAGACAGTAATGTCACTAATTCCTTACCATTATATGGGAAGTATTTCTACCACATACTGTGCAACAAACACTTAAGAAAGACAAAGAAAACATCAGCTGAAATGTTATATTGAAAAACAAAAACGATGCAGAAATTAGTTCAAACTAGCCAAATTACCCATGCCATGTTATATGTCACACATCTTTTGTAAGAAAATGATGATTGATTTTAAATTATTGTTATAATTTGTGGAGAGAAATTATGCATTTCATTATTACTCAATGATCTTGCTGGTGTGACCTCCATCTTCTGGATTTCTCCTATATTTTGGATAGGAGTCATTCCTTTGTTCAAATCTAAATTTAATTTAAATCAAAGGGAAAAAAATTTTATTGGAGTGTTTATGCAAAAATAGTTTGATCTGACCCCTTTGATATTTGATTGTCTGAATTGATGAGCAGATTTTAGCATTGATATGACAGTTGAAATGTCACAACAAATATGTATTGAAAGACACTAAACACTGATTTCTTGCTCAACTTGATGTCCATATTGTCTCATTTTGATCATGCTGATGTGACCTCCACCTTTTGGCTTTCTCCTTCTATATTTTGGATATGTCATTCCCTTGTTCAAATTTAAATTTAGTTTAAATCAAAGAGGAAAAAAAAGTTCAGTGGAAGGTTTGTACCCACCGGAGATCCCCTTTGATCAAAATGGAATATACTTTCTAAGTATCCTGGGTATTTCAGAATATATATAGTTGTGGGACGGGGATATCTCCAAAACCCTAGGAGAAGTACAATAACAAATACAGACAAAGGCTACAACTTATATATATATATATATATATATATATATAAACTGATATATATAGTGGTTAACAATGCTTTCTTCAGTAAATGTTATATCATTATTCAGAAATTTTTGCATTAACAGCTGACATGGTTATTATGGGTTTATTTCTATGACCATGTTCTAGTAAAAGAATTTAGAATGAAATCTTTCTCCAAAATTGCTACTATTTTGCGATGCACTTCAAAATACAGTGTCCATAAAGTTTGTGTTCACTTTAAAAAATTTATAGATTTATTTGCGATAGAAATAATCTGTAAAAAATGTTATAAAGTTTAATGTACCTAGTTTTAAGTATAGCTAAAATAACTAATGTTATTTCAGGCATTACTGTAAATCAGTTGGCAAATATTTTCTGTGAACTGCAAAATCGTATTACCCTTTGTATTGCTTATGATGGAGGATATGTGGAAACTTAAATAAAATTTCAATAAAACTTTAAAAAATATAGATTTACTTCTTTCTAATCCTTTTTACAAATTAGTTCTATCACAAATACAAATAAAGTTATAAATTTTTTAAAGTGCACACAAGCTTTATGGAGACCCTGTATATTAATAAGAGAGAGTGAAATAGATGTTACATTTGACATGTTCAGTGGAGGAGGAGGCATATTCAACATTTGATAATTTTGCAGAAATATGTGCTTGATAATTTTAGGCAGTTTTGGTCAACATTTCTTTTCATTAGCCATAAGGAATTGTAAATATAGACCTGCCTTACATTTAAATAAAATAATATTAATATTTATTAAGAATTTATTATAGGAAATATCAATTTTTACGGAAACATTGTTGAAAATTATATATTTAGTTACCTAACAAATAAATAAAAATAATATAAATTTTGATACTATATTCAATTTGTTGTTAGGTATTTTTTATTTCCTCCTTTGTTATTGGCAGCATTTTAGAATACTTTGGCTGGAATGCTAAGTTTCCTAAGTTGAACAAACTGAAGCTATTTCGTTTACACTTTGTTACATATCTTTTCCATTTGTTGTTTTTAGACTGCTTTCTTCCAGTCGTTTTGATGGGCAATAGAGAAATTCTGAAATTTAGAATGATCTTCTTATTCCATTTCAAAGATAAAGCCTGTATAAAGGAATATTTTAAATTAATATACAACCAAAAATAAAATGTTTTCGGCAAAAAACTTGATGATTTCACTATAATTCTGTAACAATAATGTAATGATATTTTGCAGACAAATCTATGATTTATGTTAACTCATTGCATGGTTATGGACTATAAACCTAAATTGAGCTTGAAATATCGTATAATCGGCTCTAATTTTTGTAAAATACTTGGTTATGATATAATGAATAATTTGCAGTGAAAAAGCAATTTACAGTTTTTTTTTGTTGAATATGCCCCTCCTCTGCTGAACTGACCATATAGTTTTATGCTCCTAGATCAGGCATAGTGTCACACAAAAGCCACTGGTGAAGATCAGATTGGCAATATAAAAAAAATCAGTTGGTATTTTAATCTATGAATTACTCAAATATCTGAATCAATATGTGTTTGTGAATTGCAAACATTCACCATTATTGATTTAGCTTGTGTAATTTATTTACTGAGTCTGTAGTTGTACAACAATTTGTGAATGCCATTTATAAAATTTAGGCCTTTTAAACTTTTGTTTTTCTTCCATATTTAAGGGACACAACAAGTCTGAACGGGCAATCCAGTCTTGGTCTAAACTATTTACCTATGTAAGTATTTATTTTCTCTCCTTCAAAAAACAATCTTTAAAACCATTGTGATTTATCTCCCTTTTGGGTGTCCTACAATTGGAAATTTAAGGTGCCAATTTTATAAATTGATTGTTCTGCTTATTCTGAACTTCTTAAGATGCTTAGTATATACTGAGTATCTTGCCACTGAGCAATTATTAATCTTTCCTGCTTATCCCACACTCATTTCCAAGTACACCCATCTGCTAGAATGGCCAGGTAATCCATGACGCAGATGACTGTAAACAATTACTATCATAGCTTATAATGTAACTATATTGATTGAACCTTACAGTTTTGGGGAGAGAGTGCATAATTTGGTGTGATCAACAGTTTAAACATGGTCAGAGCGCTTAAATCCTTTGGTCATAATGACTTCGAAATTTGTACTAGCACAACCATCAACAGGTCATGAAGGTTTCTGTCTATCTAATTTCACTTACAAGGCTTGGGTCAACTCATGATATGGTTTTCAGGCACTTCCCACCTGGAATTGTCTCTCCAGTACAATAGTTGCCTTCATGACAAACTGACATTGGTGAGATTTGAACCATGATCTTATGGTCAGAATGTTCCAACCACTTGGCCATGCACTCACTAAGTAAATGTACTGTGCTGTACTAAGTAAATATTAAATGTACTGTTGAATAGAGGTTAGTGTAGAAGTCAAATGACTTACCTTCTATCATGGCTGCTTCCTTGTGTCTCCTTGTAAATGCAGGCAACCTCATTTCTACCTCATTTATAGGAGAGTACCTAATACAGCAGGGGGGGTAGTCTAGTTTACTAGAATGGACCTGCCCAACATATTTGCATGAGTGGACTCTATTTACCAATATATCTCTCCATCAAATCATTCAGTGGGGATTCAACTTGAAGTGAAATTCTTATATCATGGGGTGTTTTTTTTTGTAGGTTTCCTCGATGAATATGTGGTCTATGTAGGATTAAATGGTGAGGAATGAGTTCTTGTGGGAAATGGGTTAATTGTATTGGATGAATGGATCATGATAGTGATTAGCTTCCCCTTTTGGCCATGTGTCACAATTATTGTATAATTATACAGTAATAAATATATTCAACTTGAAGTGACTACACCAGTCTACTTCTGTGTCAGACCACTTGCAAGCTAACCAATATTCTACAGTTAGCTGTGTTGATCTAATCTGATACAACTTCACCAGGCAAATAGATTTTATAGTATTTACTAGGGTGCTCACACTGCAATTGGATGTAGCACAAAGTTGAGATTTAAAGTGGGTTTAATGGCATTACCAAGCAAAAATTTCTTCACCCGGTTGGCACTTCCACTTTTGGTGATGACTCAGGCACCAGACAATAAACCTAGCGCCATCCAGAAGGAGAGGTACTGCCTGGGAAGAAAGCCCCTTGGAACTTGGGTTAAAATCAAAAGATAAATCCCAGCCAAAGGCAAATGGATTTTGTGTCCCCTAGGGGAAAACCCAGAAGTCTATATAGAACTTAATCAGCAGAACCCTCTTCAACTGCAGGTGGAACAGGTCAACTTATTAAAGCATGAGTTTGCATTAGCTGAAGGCTATCAGTTCAATACTTGTGTTGCGTAGTAAATATACATGGTGTGACAGGTAAATTGTCGCCATATTATATTATTAATTTCGTGCATGTGTGGTGTTTGTTTTGGATTTTGTTGACTGCACAGTATAGTAGGGTCAGTTGGGCACCATCTGTGAGAAAAAGAGCACCAGGGTGCAATTCACTCCACCAGAAAATTTGAAAATGCCATGCTGTACTACTTTGTATTCATGTCGGAAGATCCAATTTGAACATTTCAGAGTGTTTGGGTATCAATCTGAGGACAGTGCAGAGGATTTGAAAAGATTTGGATGAGTCTAATGGTGATTACAAAGGTGTTTGGAATGATCACTAGTTATGGCAATGTTATGTCTCCATTCATCTTCTCACAGGGTCTCAGTCACAATTCAGAGGCATACATCAAGTGCCTTGAGGAGGTAGTGCTGTCCTGGATCAAAAGCATGGATGCTGGAAGACCCTATGTCTTACAACAGAACTCTGCGTAATGCCACACAAGCAGGAGAATCCAGTCATGGCTGTCAGACAATTTCTGCAATCAGATCACTTCTTACATCTGGCCACCTAACTCCCAGTATGCAACCCTCTTGATCATTATGTGTGGAGTGCAGTTGAATAAGAGACCAACAAAACTCCTTGTAACATCAAAAACGAACTGATGGCAAAGATTATGGCAGTATTCACAAACTTAAACAAGGAGACTGTCCTGAAGAGTTGCAGGAGATTCTGAGGTCATCTTGAGGCCTTGGCTGAAACCAAAGGCAATTTTCTTGAATAAATTTACTCTTTAGTATTTCAAGATATTTTTGTGTAATTTTGGTTAATATATCTGTTAAAGTTAGATTCCCGTTTTTTTTTGTTTTTTTTTTAACAAAGCTATTTACCAATTTCTTAAAGGGGCTTTCAACTATAAAATTTTATGTAAGAAGTTGTATCAGCATATAATTAGTTAGCATTATGTTAAATTACCTTTCCGTCTCTTTTGCTTTTACTTCTTAGGAAAGTTGAACGTCAGACTTCAATACATCTTAAAAAAAGTGTATCTGCTCATAAAGAAATTGTCTAGGTTTTATATGCTGACAACTTTGTGTCATGACCTATATTTAAAAAAAAATTTTCTAGTGAATTTGAATTTTGCATGGGTCAATTGGTTAATCACAGCAAAGCCCACAAACCTTTTTTGCTTTTGAAATTAAATCAATCTTTTACTTGCTAGCAGTCTAACATTGAGGAGACACATTTATGGTGTTGAAACATAATTGCCATTATGTAGCGATTTTTAACATGTTTTAATATCCTAAAATAAATAATATTTAGCTCTGCTATGTATTGAGCCCTCTTTTGAATTAAATGTTACATACAGTGGAATTATATTCTATTTGTTCTCATTTTACCTGGAGATATATGCAAAGGAGCAATAAACAGGTAAAAAAAGTTCACAAATTAACAATGGTGTTAACAGACAAAAAGAATACAGACAAGTGATTGTATCATTCTAACTTTAAAACAAAAAAAGAACAACAATATGGTGGATGAAACCAAGAAGAGGTACATTTTATTCACTCGGAAGAAATCCCAGCATGCATCTGTATGATTTGTCTATAAATTTGGGGAGTGAGTACATTTTAGCAGTTGTTCCAAACAAATTGAAACCAACATGGTTGCTTTGTAAACAATTTCTATAGCAGTGAGTTTGATCTTCACTGGGTGCCTTTTGGTTTTTGTGTCATGGTAAGCTAAATAAATATTGAATGGCACCTTGTTGTTGAGTAGAAATTAGTAAGCTAGTCTTGCATACTATTATTATTGAAATGTTAAATCCTCACTAAGATACTTGAATTAATTGTTTTTTGATATATTTTTTTAAGTAATAAAAAGGTATTTCAACAAATGCTACCCACCCTCAAATATTCAAAGGAGATATGCAAAGAATCTGTGTGTGTGTGTTTGTGTGTATAAGGACCTTGAATAAGTTCTTGCTGTTTTCCAACAGATGACGTTTCCAGAACTGCATGTATGTAGTTTCAGATTCTTTAAGGAAGTACTATAAATAAGCATGGAATAAAGTGTGTGTCATTTTGCCAAAGTGTAAACAACTTTGTTTTTCATAGTATTAAACGTCAGATTTCATGCCAAAGAAAGCGTATTTGGGGAGAATTTTACTGCACTACTTTATTCAAAAGAAATTTGCAGCAGAAGCACACAGAATTCTTGTTGAGAATTACAGTGACCATACTCTGTCGGAAACAACATGCAGAAATTGGTTTAGATGCTTCAAAAATAATGATTTTGATGTTGAAGATAAAGAATGCTTGAAGACAGAATTGGAGGCATTACTTCATAAAAACTCTTGTCAGGCACTAGCTGAACTTGCAGAACTATTAGGGGTTGATCACACAACAGTTTTGAAATGTTTGAAAGCATTCGCAATGATTAAAAAGCAATAATATTGGGTGCCATACAAGTTGAACCCGAGAGATGTTGAATGGCATCTTGTTATGTGTGATCAGTTGCTTCAGTGTCAGAAAAGGAAAGGTTGAATGTTAGACTTTGATACATCTTACAAAAAATTTAACAACATATATCTGCCCATAGGGATCATCATCAGCAGCAAAGCCGAATATCCATGGGTTGAAGCTTCTGCTCTGCATTTGGTGAAATTAACTGGGTATAGTTTATTATGAGCTGTTCAAACCGACCAAAACCATCATAGGAGATTGCTATTAACTACAATTGATGCATTTGAGCTGAGCACTGAAGAAAAAACGGCTGCTATACGAGCAGAGACATGACAAAGTGATTTTGCAACGCTAGGCCACATGTTGCAAAATGGATGAAAACTTACTTAGAAACACTTAAATGGGAAGTACTACCCCACCCGCCTATTTACCAGACATTGCTCTGTCTGATTATCACTTGTTCCAATCAATGGCACATGGTTGGCAGAGCAGCACTTTCATTCTTATGAAGATGCCAAAAAACGGGTTGACTCGTGGTTAGCCTCAAGACGGTTTTCTGGCGTGGAATTCTAATGCTGCCAGAAAGATGGGGAGATGTAGTGGCTGGCAATGGACAATACTTTCAGTCGCTTGTTTTCTTACTAATTTTTGTAAATAAAACATTACTTTTCATGAAAAATCGGCAAACACTTATTCAAGGTCCTATATTTATATATAAAAACAGGGGGCTAAATGAATAGGTTAGTCACTTTCCTAGATAAGATATAAATATTCCCACAATGAATGAATATTTTGTTATTTTCTAGTGTTGAAAAGGACCATGAACATTCAAATAGTTCTTCAAATGAAATAACAACAAAAAATATTTGTTGAATTTTTATCAGTTACTTGTAGTGTATATTCTTTAATTTTATAATTATGAGCAAATTGTTTAATTTTTTGTCAACATTTGCAATGCTAACTCTAACTATAAAGCTTACACACACACACACACACACACACACAATATATATATATATATATATATAGAGAGAGAGAGAGAGAGAGAGATATGTGTGCATGTTCAATGGTCAAGTTTGCTGTCATTTGTTCTTTAATATGGTAGCCACTGCATAAGTTTTTAACTACACTATAAAGTCAGTTTACAAACCAGTAACAAACTTTTACTAAACAATTTTTATATGCTTTTGAATATTCACTATACAGGTGGGTAGTGGAAAATTTTTTCCTTGTATAGGTGATGACACAAAAAAGGTTGGGAACACCTGCTGACGATCAATGGTTAGGAAGCTATTCTTACTCATAATTAGTACTAAAATGAGTTTGTGAATATTTGTGATTTTGTTATATTATTGTTGTAATATACCTATGGACGATAATGGGTATGCCCCCATTCACATAAATACTGTAGTGAATACTGTATGTTGGTCTACAGTTGGAGATTTCTCTCCAACTGTGCTGGTCAAACTCTCTGCCCCTGAGCAGAGAGCTTCCCCAGACGAGGCTATGTTGAAGGGCAGTCTCTCGTCTCTGGAAACAGCTACTCGACCCCGTTTTATGTGGGGAATTTTTGGCCAAGGCTACAGGCTCGGATACCCCACATTAAATTCGGCCTTGTGCCACATCTGACCGCATGGAGCAGTTGGTAGATATTCTAGAGTTGGAGATTCATTGTGGAATTCACTTGACTTACTTTTAGCATTTGACTACTACTACTACAAGCTAGTGGTGAATCTTATATGTGTTCTTGTCCTAAGTATTATTGTTCATTACCAACCTTCGTTTGATTATTCTATTCAATAACCTTCCCTATGTTACAACAATTATACTAAGCCTAGTCAATACAAATCATACAAAAAGACTAATTATTATTCTTCTCTGTAGACTCTTAATAAAACTGACTATATACCGACGCTACAAGAAAAGGGTAGCCCCTATCATCCAGATGATGTCATGATGTTCAAGATTCAGGTGCTTCATACTGAAAGTTTAGTAAGTATAAACATATTCTTCTTTGCTTGTTCATCTTTCACGCTATAGTATCTTTTGATATTTCTTTCGAGTTGTCTTAGAAAGGAACCTCCTATTCATAAGAGTTCTTTCTTTTAACAGCGTACTCTTTGGGATTCATTTTCTGACTTTATTTGAAACACCTCTTGGAATAATATTCTTAACCTTCCTATTGAGAATTGTGCCAGAGAGGTTTTTTCTTGGGTTAAAGCTGGCATTGATGCTTTTGCATCGTCTCACAAATACCAGGTAAAATCACAATCTTCTCCTTGCTTCACCCTGGCCTGTTCAGCTGCTATAGCCTGCAGGTATCACTTTTTCCTAGTGTACCAGTGTGACGATTCTAATCACAACAGACACCTATTTTTGTCTACTCAAAACAATTGTAATCATATCCTCAAAGATAGAATTTTGCACCGTATAGCCAGTAACAAATTTGGTTCTTGTGACTATTGGCGGTTCTGTAATAGTGTGTTAAATAAGAGTAAGTCTTCTATTTCTCCTCTCTTCACTCAATTTGAAGTGTTAACATCTGTTGATAAAGCAGAATGTTTTGCTTGTAAATTCTTTTCCAATTCTACTCTTGACTCATCTGGAGTATCTTTGTCTGATGTTCCACTTAGAACCGAGTCTCTATTGAGTGATATGCGTATAAATCCATCCATGGTTTCTGCTATCATCTCTAAACTGGATCCTCACAAAGCATATGGACTTGATGGTATCCCTGCAATAGATCGTAAGAAATGTGCTCCTGAACTAGCTCCAGTTTTTTTTAAACTTGCTGCTGCTTGCTTTCCTGCTTCTTGCAAATCCTCTTCTGTAGTTTCAGTCATTAAGAACTCAGGTGAACTGCCTGATTCATCTATTGGTCTATTAGCCTTCTGTGGGGAAAATTGTGAAAATGGCCTACCTCGAAACGCGTTGAATCTGGGCAGTATGTAAATTCTGGTCCTTCCAACTGTAAAAAAAAAAACCAAAATGGCGGCGCCAGCGTTTTTTATGCCGAGCGGTCTCGGTCAGTTAACGGAAATCTCGTTGCCTCGTGATTCGCATGCAAATCGTGGGTCGGTCCGCAGCTGTATAAAGCAGGCTCGTTTCTGCTGTTGTTTCAAATGAGAGGGTTTTCGCCTCGTGAGAAGGTTGGACGCGACACCGGTTTTCTTTGTGCCTACCTGCTATCATCAGTTGAATTGTTGAGTTACACACCACAAGCTATTTCGCAATGGACAAGTTCGATCTAAAGTTGATCCCAGAATTGACGGCTCCCCACGGGCCCGACTATCGTCGAATGGTTTGAAAAGGCCGAACGTGTTTGCAGGGTGTCCAAAATAAAGGAACCTGCACTAGTCATCCCACTGAGACTCATGGGAGGAGCCTCACGCAGTATATCAACAACTGGGGACGATGCTGACCTAGAAGAGATCAAGGACGCCCTGTATACGGCCTTGGAATAGATCCATTCATCGCTTGGAAACAGTTCGTCGGACGACGGCTCGAGCCGGGTGAGACCGTGGATGTTTACCTGGCTGATTTGCGAAGGCTGGCAGTACCGTTTGGCGGAGCAACGGACCGCATACTGGGGTGCGCCTTCCTGGCAGGGCTTCCCGACGACACCAGTCAGCTCCTGCGGCGTCTTCAAGATTGGACACACTGGGAATTGACGAATTGCTAGCCAGGGCCCGAAACATCTTGAAGGACACTGAACAGATCGCGGCAGCCGTGGAGAACGCCTGAGACACCGAGGGAGGGCCCAAAGTGCTACAAGTGCGGTGGACCCAACCATTTCTCTAGGGACTGCCAGAGCCGAAGTGACGAGGAGGGAGCAGCAGACGGAACCGAAAGCACGATTACGCTGCTATCGCTGCAAAGAGTTAGGCCATGTAGCACAGGATTGCTCGAAGCGAGTCCGGGGACAAGGTGCTGTCGCAACCCTTGCCCCCTCTCGGTCAGTAAATGCGGCATTGCCTGTTGTCAACGTGTACGTTGAGGGTAAACGATGTTCGGCGCTTTCGTTGACACTGGATGTTCCCGATCAATCGTTAGTGCGGATCGATGCATGACATGGAACAGTCAACGAATCGAGATTCGGACGATTGACGGGTGTCCGGGCCTGTTGTGGTGTCGGGACTGTGTCAGTCCTAACAGACGGAGGGAGTCATGCCAAAGTCGACATCTTGGTGGCATGTCAAAGGCCCCTCGGTACGACCTGCTACTTGGGATTGATGCGATCCGGCGTTAGGAGGCATGATGATCACGCCAGCCGGAAATGTGGAACTGGGTGAAAGAAGAAAGGTGTGTGCAGCCCTTTGCGTTAGTGAGCCGGATTTCGACGTCTCCTTCAATTCCGACGAGAGAGTGTGGACCGCCAGGTGGAAATGGGCCCAAAAAGACCCGCCAGTTCAGCTTCGCAACAAGGTCACTGAGTACAAAGTTCCAGACAGCATCAGAGGAAAATACGAGAAAGAGCTTCAGCAGTGGATTGTGAACGGCTGGCTGATTCCGTACCCCCAGGAAAGTCTGATTCCCTTGATGGCAGTCGTGCAGGAGCAGAAACAGAAGGTGCGTCCGGTACTCGATTACCGCGAATTGAACGACTTTGTGGATGCTTTCACTGCCGATGCAGAAGTGTGCGCATATAAGTTGAGAACATGGCGGCGGCAGGGAGTCAATGTGTCGCTTCTGGATCTGCGGAACGCATATCTTCAGATTCACATCGACGAAGCGCGCCAGGCCATTTCAAACGGTTATTTTCAAAGGCCAACGCTTCTGTCTTATGCGGCTAGGATTTGGGCTAAATGTAGCGCCACTCATCATGAAATCCGTTATAGACGCCATCGCATCGCAAGACCGCACAATTGAAAGTGCCACATCAGCATACGTTGATGATATCTTCATTAATGAAAGTTTGGCCTCTGCATCGCGTGTAAGACAACACTTTTCGGATTACGGTTTGGTGTGCAAGGATCCGGTGCGACTGAGAGATGGAGCAAGAGTTCTTGGCTTGCAGGTCTGGGAAGAAAATGGCACCCTCCGATGGAAACGAGGAAGTCAAATTCGGAAGCCCCTGATGTGTTGACCGGCGGCGCGTATTTTTCGTTGTGTGGGAAACTTGTTGGACACTTCCCAGTGTGTGGATGGCTCAGGGTGGCAGTTGCATTCGCAGCGCCTGGCAACCGCAGCAACCAATGGATGGGATGATAACATCAAAGATCCCTCTCTGTTGCATACTAGCAGAGATGTTAAGTAGAGTGCGGGAACTGGATCCCGTCCGGAGGAGACTGGTGCATGAGTGGTGACGAGATCACAGTCTGGGTGGATGCGAAGTTCCGTGGCGACAGGAGTGGCATTGGAAGTAAACGGAAATGTCATCGAAGATGCGTGCTGGCTGCGTCCGACTAATGATGCCAGGCACATTAATTTGGCTGAACTCGGCGCGGCACTTAAAGGAGTGAATCTGGCTCTCCAGTGGGAGGCGATAACGTTGCACTTGGTCACTGATTCGGCGTGTGTGCACCGGTGGATTTCAGACACCTTGACCGGGAAGGCACGGGTGAACACAAGGGCGGCTGGTGAGATGCTGGTCAGGCGACGGCTGGGCATTTTTGCGATCGTTGGTGGACGAATATGGATTGACCGTGAGACGTGACACTCGTGCAGTCCTGTCAGAACGTGCAGATCGCCTCACCAGAGTACCGCACAGGTGGCTAGAACTGCTCAAGAGAGGAGAACCGGCACTCGAGAGCTGTGCAGTGGCAGGGAGACGACTGGATGAGGACCAGGTTGCCAATACGCATCGTCAATGCGGACATCCGGCGTGAAACGAACTCTGTACTTCGCCAGGTTAGTCAACCCGCAGGTGTCCAGAGAAAGCGTTAAATCCGTTGTGAAGGCCTGCACAACCTGTCAGTCGATCGATCCGCACCCGTTCACTGGGAAAGAGGAGAACTGAGCGTGAAGAGCAACTGGAGCAGACTGGCAATGGACATAACTCACTACAATGGTGAGAATTTTTAACACTCATTGATTGCGGTCCCTCCAGGTTTGCGGTATGGCGGCCGCTGCGCAGACAAGACACGAGCACCGTCATTCGACTGTTGGAGAATGTTTTCCTGGAGCGAGGCCCACCCATGGAAATACTGACGGATAACGATACTGCATTCACCAGTAAAGATTTTAAAGAATTTGCGGACACTTGGGACGTGCATCTGCGGTTTCGATGTGCCTACCGCCAAGTGGAAACGGCATCGTGGAGCGGAACCACAGAACCATCAAGACCATCGCAGCCAGGAAGGGCTGTACAGTATCGAAGCGGTTTACTGGTATAATGTCGCCCGAAGGATAACATTTCACCATCCACAGCGCCGGGCTGATGCACTGCACAAATATCATGTCCGCGTGAAAGGCATCGAAGCCAACCCGCTGCCTGAACTAGAAGTGACTGGAGGAGATTGAAAAAAGGAGACATCGTTTGGGTCAAAAACCCACGCGGCAAGTGTACGACAAAAGCACGGCACTGGACGTGTTACGGAGGTTATCAGCCCGCAATCTGTGAGAGTTGAGGGGTGCCTCGTCACATTAAAGACTTGCGACCGGTGACGCAATCACTACCGCTACCGAGCGATGAAGGCGATTCGAGTCTGGGAGTAGTGAGCATTCAATCTGCCTTGAGTTAGACCTGCAGGGCAGCGATTCTGATAACAGCAGCCTCCCGGCAGACACAGTGTTTACCGACACTCAAACCACAGACGAGAACACGACGAGGATGAAGCTTGTGTTATCCCCTTCGGAGAGGGACTCGACGGCGACGATCGCCACCTCCCTGCCCTGTTTGTGATCATGAGATCAGGGGAGTGTGGGGAAAATTGTGAAAATGGCCTACCTCGGAAACGCGTTCAATCTGCGCGAGTATGTAAACTCTGGTCCTTCCAACTGTAAAAAGAAAACCAAAATGGCGGCGCCCGCGTTTTTATGCCGAGCGGTCTCGGTCAGTTAACGTGAAATCTCGTTGCCTCGTGATTCGCATGCAAATC